CCCTCTAAGCCCTTCCAGATCCTATCGTAATCGCTGCCTTTGAGCGGTACGCCTGCCTGGTGTTCACAGTCCATAGCACTGGCAGTTAACGACCAATCAGGGACTGCTTCTTTGAAAAGGTTTGAATGGAAACGCGACGAACTTCCTACTTTGCTAATCCCCTATTCCTCTTTGGCCTCAAATTGAGCTACTTGTTCAATACAGAATCAGGGGTGCGATTGATTAATCGTCCGATATTTAATCGTGCGGCGACCTTCAATGGGAAGGGCGGACGTCGCACGGCGGCCCTGGCGTGATCTTTCCACTAGACCTGCACTAAATGCCTTTGCACGGCAGGCTATTTTGCATGCTTGTGATTCATTTTGTAGTCATTTGAGCTCGCCTGGATGATAGCTCAAAGTTTGGTAGAATATATTGAGCCAGATGAAAATGGTTGAAGATGATAATGGATAGTCCAAGAGTCTCCATGTTATCCCTTGGAACCTCGGCATTATTGGTTGAACTGTTTGATTAATTTGTTCTGTGCCAAGTGATGTATAGTTGTATTCATGAATTGGACCATGTTTCGACCTTTTCGGTGTTCTCAGATGTTCCACAGCACTGCGAAACTTTAGGCTCACGCCCTGTGGGTAGCTAGTGAATGAGCAGGAAAGGCTCCGAAACAAAACGTCGGAACGGGCCATTCAAATAAAAGGTTTCCGACATTAACCTCGCGTGGCACAGAAGAATTAACGCGAGTTACGATCGTATGCAACGCGTTCGTATTCCAATTCATATAAATGGTGTAAGCTCTAAAAGGTCAGTGGCAGTCCCTCGGTCCTGGTGATTCATACGTCGAGTTGAAGGAGATCCTCGCAAAATGCTAGACGCCGTCCGCCGAACCCTCAGCAGACAGAAGGCTTACCGTCAACGAGCGTGTCTCGTGTAGGTTATCTACGACCGAGGTCACAGCCGAGCGAATTCATCCAGGGAATGTTTCAGGTTGACAAGCTAACTTTCCCTATGGACGCAAATGATGGGGTGCTACGTAGCAAGGCTGCTGCTTGTTAGGCGCAGGTTTGGAGGTTGAGCTTCAGATAGAATCTGCTCAGACCAACCTATTCTTCCTAATGAGGTCAGCATTTATGGGGCCCACTAAGCGCTCTATTCCCAGAACGAGTGAAGCATGACTGTTGCATAGGATTCGACGTCGCTATCTTCAACAAGAGCTTACCATTCAAAATGGTCACACGATCTCGAATTGAGTCCGTGTGCGGGGCGCATCCAAGAAAAGGCACGAACGCGAAACTTTGCCTTCATAACTACGCAAGATGGTTTAGTAGTGTAGAGTAATGAGCAGGATTCGAAGATCTTTGCAACCTGGAATATACTGTTTGCTATGCCATCGCAGATAATGAAAGGAAGTGAACCTTCCCAGATGCTATTTATTCAGCTAACCGGCTTCAGTTCCAAAATACTGCCAAGGAAAACAAAATAAACGGACTGGGACCAATCCCCTCCGAGCCTGATGTCATCCCTGCCCTGAGTTTGCACTCTCGAGATGAAACAATGAAAAAGCAAACGATTGATCGATCAATCCCATTTGTAAGATTCCACTCACATTCAACTTAAAGGACGAATTCACGATGAAAAAGCAACCCATTTCAAATTAACCTAGGGATGGTGAGTGGTACACGAAAGAAGGAAGAACCATGAGAAACGGCCCAGAACCCGAGAAATGGTACCCCTTCCTTGCCCGTTGATTCGAGCATTGATGCGACTCTCATCGCTGTGCCCTCTTCAACACTACGCTCTCTCAGCTATCTAATCACTCGCCACGTATTGAACTACGGCGAGTGATCAGATGATCGGTGGGCGGAGATCGCCGGACCCGCCAGCTTTGAGGCATGATAGGTCGCCGAGGTCAAATTTTTCCATGCGAATTGCGCGTCAGTTCGCACCCTCAGGAGGTCCGTGGGTCCCTCAACTAGGTCAGTTTCCCTTTCTTCGACCTTCATTCTAATCGTGAATTCCTCCTTTAAATGAGTCGAAGACGAAGTTATAATCTGTCTAGTGACGTCGGAATTAATGCTTTACGAATAAGCCTTCTCGTCTTCACAGGGAGAACTGCTAGCAAGGAGAGAAGGCATAGGACCCGAGCAGGGTCTGATCTGGTTCTTGTAGTCATAGCAAGAGCGGTGGGGGTGCTGCATACCATCGTACCAGAAGCGATAACATCATATGAGCCAAAAGTTTCGAAGCCGAGTCGGGAGATAAAGGTGACCCGGCAGTTAACTGGTTAGTACAATTACCCCGAAAGCAAGAGATCCGAGTAGGAATCCCGACAGAGAGGAAAGTTTTGCCCACAACTGAGCATTCTTGCGATAACTTTCGTAACGCGAACTGTGGCGTAAAACACCAGTTATCATCAAGAACGAGCAGAAAGCTGTTAAGTTTGGAAGAGAGCGTAAGGGTGGGAGTGGGGGGGGGGGGATTGTGAGAGCGTCAAGACAGCCCGAAAGCAACTTTTTCGTGGTTTTCACTGAATCCTGAACTTCATTTGTGAAGTTAAATCTCTCGAATCCCGTGACAGAGCAGAAATTCGGTCCTTGACCATATTCTTTTTGGGATGCGCCACGCTTTTCATTTCCTTCGTGGTGACATTTAAATGTGATTTCGCCCGAACAATGAGTTACGAATTCCACCTATATGCAGGTGCGTATACTTTGGCCCTTCCAGGCAAATGTGGCTCCAGTTGATCAAGGTTTCGTGGATGGAAGGTTTCGTTGACCCGAGCGAGATTCGATCCAGAGTTGTAAGGCCAGAATTGTGCAAGCTTTGCCAGTAACTGTTTTGCTGTTTTTTCCATCAGTCACCTAGGCTTACCTGAAATTGAATATAATTTTATGTCCACAAGTCGGTGCAGGTCAACAAGTATTCTGGTTGAACACTTGGGCCTAGGTCTTACGCCCTGGGTTCGTATTTAGATCAAAGAGGCACCTATTTTGGCCCGCCCGGGAACGACTACGGTCGGTTGCGTTGCCTAGGCTGACTTTGCACCTTGCTGTACTACGCATTTAAACAGTTTCGTTGAGAGGCCTATGCACTTGATGCAGTCTTCTCAACACTTCAGGTATACACGGGTGACTGATGGTGCGTTGCGTTCTTGGTGTCTTGCGTTTTTGTCCGTTAGCCGGATGGTTGCTTGCGTTTTGATCAACTGGCATGGAACTCTGGCTTCTTCATAATGACGACTCGTTGTCCTCAGCTTTAGCCGTCTAGTTAGGGGTATGTTGTCTGCCGGCAGTAGCAGTTTGGTACTTGGTACTTGGTTTCATTTAAATAACTGCCTAATGTGTTTTGTTTTGTTCCTTCGTTTATGTTATGTTCGACTAACACGAGTTTTGGCTTTGTTGGGCGCACCAAAAAGTGCAGTTTAATAAATAAATAAATAAATAAAGTCTTTCCGCCACTGTGAACTACTCCGTTTTGAATCCATAAGCTTGAAAACGATTTATGGGAAGCTGTTATTCAAAGAAAACCCAACTTTCTATCTACCAAAGGTGAATACGTGGCAACGAACATATATTTTTCGGAAAATGTTGAAACGGTCTATCAATAATTTCCCTAAGGGTGCGCCGCGCCTTCTGTTTCTCTTCAATATCGTGCTGACCTTTAAATGCGCATTTCACCCACATTATCACTTTTAAGGGTCCGCCTGGTAAATTTACCACCAAGACTGCTTCCAAGAAAACTGGAAGTCAGATTAACTTAGCGTTAATGGACCTTTACGTCCATGTATGTTGAACGCTTCGCCTTTAGCCTGCGCACTTTCTTATCACAAGTTATCAGCCAATATCTCTTACCCTTTTAAAAGATGTTAATCTAATTGTAAGTGAACCATCCCTCACAGGAACTACGAACTCCTTTACCATTACCTATTTTATGAAAATCTCTTTAAAGGGGAATCGAAAAATTCAAATTTGATGAAACCTGATTTCAGCGCTCCACACCGAGAAGACCGAGTCCTACTACGTGCAGTGTTCGGTGATCTTCGCTTCTCTGATCGTGTTCTTCGTGTACAACTGTTGGCAAGCCGCTCTCTCCGTCTCTTATCTCGAACACCTACGAATGCAACGCAATATGGCCCCATCCAAGCCCACAGTACTCATTGTCAATAAGTCTATGTATTGAGCTTTATCTCCAGCGAGAAGGAATGGGTTCCACATGGGTTTGGAGAAGCAGGCTCACACCGAACTCCTAACCTATCCCTTGCCGATATTCTAACAGTAACCGGTGGCAAATCTGCGAGAGTCCTTCAACCCTCTAACATTTCATTCATTTCACTTCTAATGTGGCTTTACTATAGCTGATTGTTTAGACTTTCGTGTTCTTTAAGAGATCGGATCTCTTTGTTTGAACCCTATGAAAGATAATTATTAACTATTTGAATTGATATTATTATTATTGAAACAATATTTAATCAATCGACTGTTCATCGACCTCACCAAACTACATTCTTCAACGACGAAGAAAGAAGGCTCAACAAAACAAAATTAGAGTAAAAAGTATCAAATGGTATATATAACAAACATCATCACAATGTACACATAGGGTCAGAGACCTACAAATTCACCGTATGCGAGATAGTAAAATGTGATGTTCAATTGATGAGGATTGGATTTATGCATTGAGTGTTAGAGGAAGTGCTGCGAATAAGGAAAAGCAGAAAATTTGTGCGCTTTGGATGTACTCTGTGGTACAACCGAAGAAGAGAATTAGACACAATAACATTCCGAGGTGGTCGGGAAAGGGTTAAAGGCTTGATCGATTGCAAGCAAATATGATACTGCGGTACAAGGAGATCATGGACGACGGAAACGCGCGTAAAGTACCACGGCAAGGCACACCTGCCTCTCATTATAGTCAAGTGGAAATGACGGGTCAAAGATCATTAAAAGTAAAATCGAAATAGGACCATACATTAGAGAACGTATAATTATAGATGACATATGTCATCTTCATAAAACACCACCAACATCCCTCTCTACTGACATATTACAAGTACTTTCAAGTAGCTCATCTCGCAGCCGCCACAGTGCACGCACCACGTCCTCTTCTCGAGCGACCGGTCTCCCACGAGATTCCTTCAAAAGGAAAGAAAAAATTAGTTAATGTCGATTTGAAAAGGAATACGGCACAGGGAATGAGGTATACTTACTCTGATCCAATGTGTCGGGGGCGGTCGAGCCGCATTCGGCTGGGCGTTGCGTGGATTCGTGCTCAACGATGCGTCCCATTTGGAGACACTGCGCTGGCGGTTCGACGAAAGCGACTCAATATACCTGAAATGGCATATAAAATGTGCATGTTCTACAGAAGTCGTTTCATACATTCTCAGAGCGCTCCCAGGGCGCGAAAGCTAACTTATAATTAGAGTTAGAAAAGCGCTTATGAGTAGTGTACTGTAGCATTTACAATAGAAAAAAACTACGAAGAAGGTTCGGTAATAAGGGAGTGAATTCTGCCCGTCACAAAAAAAATTAGTATGTAATAAGCAGCTGAACGTCATAATGAAGCTACAAGCTCGCCTTAGCTCGCCTAAAAACGAAAAGCAGGTGTTACCCATAAGTGAGTCCTACGTCAAGTCATAAAAATCGAGAAGCGGAAAAGCCTCCTCATGGCTGAGCGACTGATACTTTTAAAGTGTGACAAAAATCTTCAGAAAGAAATCCCACAACCACCCAGCCACAGTTCCTCATAATAAGCACAGCAAACATACCTAAGATATGTTTCCGAGTGCAACACACGACGCGCGTGAACCGACGAAGGCGGTGCCACAAAGACTGGCTCTACTCCCTGAGATTTCACGACAGTACGACCAGCATCAGTAATTGTAGGCATAGCCATTGACGACGATGGCTGAAATAGACACTGCAATTTAGGGCCACATTCTCAACGAAGCATATTATACGGATTACCATGGGTCCTTGTGAGCAAGAAGGCGTAGCTTGATGAGCGACTTGCGAAGGCATTTGAGCAGTGGGAGGTTGATGTGATTGCTGCACTTGTGGCTAAAGTTTTGCCAATAACTGATGTGCCATCACCATTAAAAAATGGCAGACTTACAGAATAGTGATGTTCGCCGTTAAGGTGAGGCGCTGCGTTCGCATGACCATTGACATGAGGGGTTTGAGGAGTTGAAGGCGCTTGAGGCATCTGGGCTAGACCCCTTCCGTATGGAATGTGAACAAGACTGGTTGTCTGCAAATTCATAATTAAGACATTACTACCCTAACACCACTTTAACTTGACATTACAGCTCGGATTCAACAAATAAGCACTTACGGTCTCTCCACCCGGTGTAGTTTGGGTCGTCAGTTTGAAGAAATTCTTGCCAATTTGATTCGCATAAACACTCTTCACTGAGGTACCAATATGCTTTTCCTGTAATGGTAATAATTGCTCTATTTACTCAACGCTACAGCTGAATTCCACCTCTCACAGTAAACCCAAATTGAGCCATTAGCTCACCTGATCAACACAATAAAGTTTGCTAAAGACTCAAACCGACCTTCATATGGCGGTGAAGACGAGGTAGAGATGGAAACGGTTTCCCCTCCTTTCTGTTTCTAACGCACGTCACCCACATACACACGTACTGCTGTTCACTGTCCACTGAAGCAACAGAATATGTACCTATTTTTATTGTACAATAAATTTGAGACAAAAAAAATTCAAATAGGTGCAAGCAACGTACTGATGATCTGGCTTGTATGGTGCTGCACAATGTGCTCATAAAGACCATTTTCGCTATCGAACTGAGAATCACAATTGATCCACTTGCACATGTATATACGGATTTGGCCAGGCTGAAAAATCAGATATTACCAAAAATCGCTTCACAATCGACTAAAAACCAGAACATATCCACTTCTTTGCTTTGCAAAAAAAGTCATAATCGTCACTTATGCTTCAAAAATTCAAAAAAAAAACTAAAGATTCATGAAAAATCTGAACTAGTCTCACCTGAAGACACTTCTCTGTTGCAGCTCTAGCCGCTTCTTGCTTGGCACGTTCACTAGCTATGTACTCAGCACGGACTTCGTACTGCCTCTTCTGATCATCTGACAACTTCTTCCACTAAAAACACAAGTATCATTGGCCAGGCACTTCACTATGCAAATAAAATGTTGCTCGTTGGAGAGTTTTTTTTATATAACTTGAACATTTACCTCGATTCCTACAATCTTCGACACTTCACCGAAGCCCGAGTCAGGGTTCTCGTGCATAATTCGTTTTCGTATTTCAGCCGAGAATAGAATGTACCCAGATTTGCTCTTTGCCGTCAGCTTTGGCTGAGCGGCAAGCCAATTTGACATGAGACCAGACTGAAAACAAAAACGCTTGACCATTACGAACATTAACATGGTTTCTCATTGGTATGGCTTGCAACTGTAGCATAAAAATACGCCATCTCCTTTATAGCCGCACGTTGGTGAAACTCTAAGTGATCACATGTCCCATTTCGGCAAAGTCATCCTAGCAAGATCTTCGAAGAGGGTCACTCTCATAGATAATTATACCCAGTTCCTTATGGCGAAATAATTAGACTGCACAAAGGTAGGCCCAGGGCAGATTACCATTCTGGGCAGACGACCCAGATTTATTAGCCCTGGAATTTCACCAGCGTTGGCATTACTACACTAGTTCTTTCCTAGCCCCCGTCTTTATTGCTCCAGTGTCCCATTCAGTTATCAGAGCTTAGCCCTGTCGAAACCACCATAAATTTCACTAGCTTTTTGAAGGCGTTTTCTGCTGGCAAATTATGCAAGCAGAAGCACACGCCATTAATTCGTTATTTTTCGTTAACATTAGCCATATTTCACTATATGATTGATAATTCTATGAAGATATTATGTGAATCAGAAAATAAGTAACCACTTTGCTTGCTGTTGACTCAGCTCCATCGGTATCATTTTCGTCGAGTTCCATGTCTAACTCAGATGGACCATTCGATCCGTTGTGTACTAATGGTGACATTTCCTGGAAAAAAATGTAAATAATCTTTCACAACAACAAAAGATTTTCAACTTAAGCGCCTTATCCAAATCACCATAATCATTCTATCAAGCTCTAACAAACTCGAGTGCACTAGGAGGAAGTGCTGAACGTCAGATTAACCTCCCGTCCCGCTTAATCTAACATGTCACAGCAGTGACGCCAGCGACACAACGATGGGAGCAACGAAAACGAGATTTGCAGCGTGTAACGCTCACGTCATGCAACGAGATCTCACCTTTTCCATAATTATTGGTGTCTTGAAGATAAAGAGCTCAGCATCCGGCAGGCGTGCGCCTTTGTACTGCTGAAAATACAGATAAGCATGATTCATCAACGTGAAATAGGCAGATAACAGTGCTACGAGAATAGTGGCATCGTTGAACGAGATCAACAAGAGACAAATGTGAGGGAACGAGCTCAAAGGTCACAATGTCGCACAGGCGAGCGGTCAAAGATGAACGAGAGCAAAAACGCAAGAAGCGGCGCCGTATACAACAACAATTTCCACGCAGAGTGCATCGGGTTCGGGAAGCTGATAGGGGATCCGCGAGTGCACGGCTGTGGTGGCGGGCGGCCGCCGCGGTGCTACCCGTCCAGCATCGGCGGTGAGCGAATCGCCAGCGTGACGCGAAGCAAAATCGCAGCGACAACGAGTCGCACACGCTGAGCACGACGTCGCCTTCGCGACCGTCCGCCAGGCCCCACACCACGACGCGCAACGACTGCCCGCCGCCACCATCTGCGACTCTCCATCACGCACACACTGCCTCGTTCGCACCCTCTCGTCCTAATTCTCACGCCATCTGCTGCTGCCTCGACCACCCACTGAGACTCTCTTCCAGCTCACATTCTCTCTGCACCAGCCATCACCCTCGTCTCTCCCCCAACACCTACTCCCTGACCTCGTATTCCGAATCGATGGCCTATCGTGCAAACAGCCGGCCTCCCATTATTTGTGCCCCAACTGGGGGACGACACTGCGTCTCTTCGATACACGTACTCGCTCGCACAGAATTATAGCATCGGGTAGAAGTTGCGACAAGTAATAAACGATTGGACAGAAGGACTTCGCCATCACAATTGAAAGTGCCACGAGTTATCCCTGCTTTGCCATTGATTCGAAACTTATGTGCATTGACACACGCACAAACACTTGAACACCTCTTCATGGCCACTTTTTCACTCTTTCACTGAAGCGGCAGTCGCAGCTCTGACCGCCGGAAGGCGATTGTCTTACATGACGACGAAGCTCCGCCCGTCGAACCTTTCCCACGCCCAGTCGTGTCTTTCCCACGCTACATCAACATGATGGCGAAGATTCAAGACGCAGGCACAGCTCACTGTAGGTGCAGAGCTAAAGCAAAACGATTCGCCCCCGCCACCGCCACAACGCTTGATTTTAGCAGATGTCACAGTTTTTGATGTTCTGTTTCATGAACTGCTACTTCCTTCGAGTGCTGAGTCACGAACATAACGCTTCGCGCCCTCTCCAGAACTCGAACCCGGATCTTTAGCTTTTTGGGTACGGGTGGTTAAAAAACACATCTTGGTATCATAGAAGCCAAAGTATGGAAAAAATATGGAAGGTGATTGATCCAAGTTATTACCTTGAATTTCCGAACAGGTTTAGCCGAATCTATATGCATTGGAGCGCTACCATTTAACGGATCGTAATTTTCATCATCCGCGGAGGTCTGAAACAATAGCCAGTGAGTAACAACGTGGTCTAAGGTCAGAATAACCTTCAACGAACCTTCTCCAAAGGCTTAGGGAAGAGTGAAGAAGGCTCTCCCTTCGCAAAGGAAATGCCAGGAACACGTGATTCACACACAAAAACGTCGCACTCGGGAATCTCAGTTGGGCGCTCTGACAAAAAGCACATTATGAGATGAATTATGAAACACATCGGGTCTACTAGTACCTTTCACAAATTCCTTCGGGGTGAGAACCGCACAGTGACTTTGGATGTCTTCGATACGTCTCGTCTGGTCTGGTTGATCAACAGCGAACACCTCTCGCACGTAGAATGTTCGTCCACAGTCATGCTGGATTTCTGCTGGACGTGCCAACCAACCTCCACTGAACCACTCGCTTCCACTAAAAAAGATTGATCGAATTTTAAAAGAACTCCAATTGGAATTCAATAAAGTTGGACAAGCAACACCAACTCTTTATCTCTCCACAGCTTGTCGATACGCATCACATCACACGTTGGCTTTTGCGGGTTGAATACAAGCACGAATTGTCCAACATCATGATATTTTCCACTGTGAGTGCGCATCGCGTAAAGGTAAGTTCTTCCATCGGCATCAGCCTCGGCACGAGCAGGAATCTGCAATTGTGTGGTGATAAACCATTTCATCTCTCGAGGAGGCCATGATAATAGCATTACCTCTGGTCGATCAATGTCAAGAATCACTGAGTCCCGAAGCCGATCGTCCTCTTCAGAGCTGGACGAAGAATGCGTCTGAGATTTCTAAAATGCAAATTAGGCTCGTCCAAAAATCTTAACAAACGAAAGGATGATCGATACCAGGGGGAATATTTAAGAAGATGTATATGATGAGAACACTTAAAAGCAAAAACTGGAAGGTTTTTTACGAACGACACATCAATACACTACATTTTTTCCTCACAAGAGTTCACCGATCCCTAATTCGATAATAGGAAAAGGGAAACGTTGTCAGTTTCACCGAATCGTTGGCCTCAGAGGCCGAAGCTCTACCACAAGAGTGAATAAACTCGCTGATATCTTAGCGTTAGTTAGTAGCAAAACTTGCCAATAATATGGTTTTGTTAGCTAATGGAAGCTCCTACCTCGTCATCCTCTCTGTCCGCCACGCCATCCACATTCATAAAGTTACTTGTTACGCGTACAGGAGAGAGTGGACGCGATCTAGATGTAAGTTTCAACGCATCCTCCTCTTCAGGGAATGGCCAAGTCTAAATAAATACGGTATAAGGAGTATCAGCGATGCTTGAATATACACCAAAATACAATGCGGACATCATCAGCTCGCAAATATAACTGGTTACTTACCTTGATCTTCGTGAAATAGCGCGGTTTTCCAAGATATCGACATTCGCAGACGAACAAGTCGCTTGGATTGACACCTTCGACGACATTATGCATGGCGATTTTCACAGGAACAACCATACACTTTCCGCACAGCCTTTCCGCTAGTACCGTATCAATGAATGGCGTGATGAAAACCTAAAAAAATGATACTATAAATGAACAACCAAAGAAAAAACACGCAAAGATAGTAACCAAGACTTACTTCATTCTCGATAAACTTTCGGTTCGCTAAGTGCAGGGTCTCGTGTGGCCTATACACCCATTTTCCACGTACCATCATTTCACCAGTGTCCGTTCTGAAGCAGTAATCCATGCACAACGCCAAGCTATTCCACTACATCAAAGAATGGTAACAACAATCACTTGAAAATCCGTTCTATACGCATTATGTGTGGAGGAGCTCGAGAGTTGTCATCTGTCCGAGAGATGTAAGCATAAGATGGTGTTGTATACTCGACGCCATCAAAGTTGAGCGAGTCCAAGTCTACTTCACCTTCCTGCGTAAGATAACACTAATTATGAAAAACAGTGCCACTTTTCAAGAGGAAGCAAAAGCATTGCAAAATAGACTTAGGAAAAGCAACAATACTTGTTTCTCGATCTCTTGGTCATTACTCTCCCGACGCTGAATCTCAGCCTCTTGATGCATTTTGGACTTTTTGAGCTTCTCAACGGCTTCCAGTACATGCTAAAAATAATCATGAAATCAAATACCCTATGCTGTATACTGGCTAAGCATACATTTTCTATAGCGATGAAAGCTGTCGACACAAGCACTCCTTTACATTGAGCATCACGTTCTCGAATAAAGGTCAGTTGAAGTTCTGTTGCATCTTCGAAAAGCTGAAATCATGAGCAGATCAAAAACCTCAGTTAGTTTTTTCTCTGGCAACAAGGGAAGTATAAGAAAGTAGACGTAAAGACGAATATAATTCCAAGAGAATTGTTGAAATTCTTATCGGAGACCTCACTAAATAACGTCACAAATATCAAATAGTCAACTATTAAAAAATATAAGAGCAACAGCAATCTTCAAGAACTGCTCAATTAAAACAACGAGAATGCAAGTAAAGGTATTATGAAGAACTATAAAAGTTGACTGAATACCTTCGAGTCACTTCGACTGAGCTCTCGAGCGCGATCGAAAAGATCGAAGAAGTCCTTTTGAAATCGATCGAGACGGCGATAGCGGCCCTTAAAAAACAATGAAATCTTGTGATCTTTTTTTAAAGCAGAAATGAAAAAGAATGTGAAGGAGCTAACATCAACCAGATGATCAAGAATGGCTCGAAAAATCTCACAATCCTACCTTATCGATATTTCGCTTGATCTGATCCAAAGAAAATGGCCACTCATCTCGTGGAAATCCACGAGCTTTCAACAAATCTGGAAGCTCAGCGAAAGAGTCACATCTGCATCGCCCGTCGGAGTCCTGGAATTTGTTGTAAGGATGAAAATACTGAAGAGGCAGGGAATAAGACAAAAATGTAACAACATTTCAGAGTTCATTGAATACCTTCTTGCTAAAGACAGCAACGAAGATGTTGGTAAACATAGAGCGAATCTCCATCTGCACACGAGGCATGCAATCTTCAGCAGCACCAAGCTCACGCTTCTTCTCCATTACCAGCCGTTGCAAAGCGACAGCGTCCTATTTTTGATATATTAGAGTTCAGACAAATATCTATCAACTTGAAGAGAGAGAAAAGGAGATAGGCAGCACACGGAGAGAATCAGTAACTTTCGTACCTTGTAGATCGTACTTTCAGGTTCATTATATTTACAGGCATTTTCTAACATAAGAGAAAGATCGGCAACGAGATCAATCCATCTCCCATAGCCGTGAGCTTGCAGCCGATGCTGTACTCTTTGGAGATCCATTGGCTTTCTGATAACTTCATAATAGTCGGGATATTCCTAAAAAGATATCACCATCAAAAACGAAGATGCATTGAAGAGCACCTACAGGTTACTCACTTCTTTGGTAGGCAGCTTAATGAAGGCACCCGCAAGTTTCCTGCCGTCCGAATCGGTAGCATCTCTGACTACAGAATACAATCTCCACATTTGTTGTTCATGTGCGGGAAGCCTGAAGAAAAAACTTGTGCGTATGGGAAACTGTAAAATGAAACTGTTATGCTGAGCAGCAAAGGAAGAGTTCAAAGAATTGAAAACAACAGGCATCTAATTAAAAAAAAGCAGGAAACAAATCATAAAAAATCAACGAACCTCGTAATCATGTCTTCAAACTTCCTCTCAACTTTCGGTGTAGACCTAACTTTTTGAGGAGGAGTTGGAACTGGATTCCTAGATAAATGCGGTGTTAATAACGATCAAACACTTTGACGAAATTTGCACCAAACACACAAAAACTTGTCGAACAAAAAAGTCGGTTCCGTAAGTGACAACTCATTTACAAGAAAAACCACAAGCAGCAAATCAAATAGCTATATGTGCGAAAACACTTTCTTAAAAAAGAAGTGGTAGTGCTGGGAAGAGCATGCAACAGAACGACAACACAAGTATAGGGTTAATATAGTTTCTTCACCTAACAGAGGAATTCGAAGAATCATCGTCCGAGAAGCCACCAGCGCCGTTAACCAGACCGTTCGCAGACTTGGCCCCACCTTTTAGAGGTTTGGGAAGTTTCGTCTTGAGCCAACTAGAGGAACACATGGGTTACGTAAGGAATTACAGTGTATAAATGGATTATAATCAGCAGGTGTATCACAGTAACAATGTTAATGCAGCCAAAATCAAACATTACAAAATACAAATAAGGTAAAAAGGTCTACAACTGAGCCGCTTACGAAGTTCTATAAATGTCTCGAGACTTACCCAAACTTTTGCTTTAATGCAAGAGGGCTTTCATAGGGAGCGTCCTTGTCGGTTGCATGTGCTGTTGTTACCATACTCAACAAAACTGCAGCATCGCGTGCAATTTGTGAGTTCGCCTCGTTATATTGCCGGGCATTATTGAAAAGAATGGTGAACTCCTCCATTAGTTGCACCGACGACTCATACTGCAAAAAATAAAAGGCTTAAACCGCAACAACTGAGGAGTTATACAGGAAAAAAATCTGAAGAAGGGATAAAAGCTACGAGTACATGCTTTGTGAAAAACTTACCCTGTTGTTCTCTATTTTATCCCTTATGATTTTCATATCAATAGGGTGTTCAATGACTTGATAATAATCAGGATATTCCCGAGAAGAAGGCAGTTCCATAAATGCACCAGCAGGCCAGTATATTCCAATCTAAAATAGTACAAACACATGGAGTTCAGTCGAGAAAGAAAGAAATTGTTGGGTTTGCGAATTAATTCAAACAAACCTTGTGGTTGTAAATGAGATCCCAAAAGGTCATCAGCTTTTGCCGAAATCGCAACATGAGTTCGTCCATACTTTTTCGGCCAGGTCGACCAGGTAAAGAGACATGTTCGGCGGTCATCCCTGTGGATATCGGCCGCATTTTCTTCGGCGAGCGATATTTTTTCTTCTCTGGCGGCGGAGTGTTCTGAAAAAAAAAGTATTTCATAGACCCTAGTTGACACAAAAATCCTTCAAACGAACCTTATCGTCTGAGTCTGTGTCTAATTCTGCTTTCAAAGCCTTAGGAGTCTTTGGAGTTTTTGAAGCTTTCGACTTCTTGTCATATTGCTGAAATATGTAGTTTGAAGTCATTTCGTAACTGATAACCAAGGCCTAGGAGAGAAGCAGAAAAGGCTAGACTCACCGAGAGATCAAGGCTCGGCTGAAGCTCACGAGCCTTTCGAATCGTAAGATTTTGCAGTTTTTGCGCAGCGATAAAAATATCGGACGACTCCATGTTGTACTCACACGCATTTTCAAACACCTAGAGCAATTTTGTACGTGCATTGCTTAGAACGGTTGTGAGTAGCTTGAGAGGTTCTAGATAGGCAAACCTGCATAAAATCTTTGAAAAGTTCTTCAAACGTTTTATAATCATTCCTCTTCAGCTTCTTATTTATCATGAACAAAGACATTGGACGAGATATTTCATCAAAGTAGTCAGGATAATAACTGAAACTAGAAGTTGTTAACTTGATTTAACAGGCTAATGAGAAAGAAATTGAGTTAAAAATAGTTGTAACAAAAAATAGGAATGGAATATTACCTTCGACTTGGCAGTTCGAGAAATGGGTCGGAAAGATTCGTTTCACGGTCTTTTTCATTCGGAGCGTTCCGAACGGTCCAGTAAAGTTTCCACAATGGATCCTTGAATTAAGAGCTTGATAGCAGTAGTACAAACATAGCTTAAGCGCTGGGCAGGGAAACTGTATAAAACTACTGACATCGCTCTCCTCGGTGTCTTCATCCTCCTCGGAATCTTCAGAGAGTTCAGATGTTGCTGGGAGTGCGGCTTGTATAAGAAGCCCGTCAACTGCACGGTGGACTTTGTCTCGGCTGAAAATAGAAGTAGCAATCTTTCTAAAGGATATGAAAAAGATTGCGTAAGCTTTCAAAGACGTACCGCTTAGGATGAACACCCTTCTCTAAAACCTGGTCGCGCTTCTCCTTGAAGAAACTCATCAGAGCAACGGCGTCTTTATAGATTTCACTTCCTTTTCCACTGAATACCTGTAAAGTTAATCCATCAGGAATGAGAAGGACAAAAAAACGCGAGGACATGATGGCAATGATTACCTGAGCGTTTCGACAAAGCAGTCGGACATCTGTTTCAACCTGAGACATTCGCTTGTACAAGCCAGCTCTGGCCTTCTCGGCAATCGTTTTCAAATCCATTGGATGGCGAATTTTCTCATAATATACAGGAAACTCCTCAAATAGCCCAGAATGGAAATTGCAGCGTGATAAGTTTTGACACACACCATAATTTACCTCCTTGCTTTGAAGAACTCGGAAAGGCGGCGAAATCAGTCGACCGGTCGAATCTGTCAATTCCAGTAATGCACACAGGATATCCTCAACCATGTCGATTTCAATCTCATCCGAGGAACCATTAGACGATGCTCGAGAGCTCGGTACGGGAGAGATTGACCTTAGAGACACATATTCATAAGGTACGAGGAATCGTAAAAAAATCACATGTGAAGACATACAATTATAATAAAAAAAACACAGCACATACCTCACTAAACTGATGGGACTGGCACATCCAGAACTTGAGGGATCCCCATCATTAACATCTTTTTCAAGAGGTTCTCCTTTCTTGATCTTTTCTCGGGCATCCTTGTAAATCTCTAGAAGCTCCATAGCGGCTTTGTGCTCTTCAGACTCTTCCTAAATTGCACGTTCGAAATCTTCTTCGCGGGCATAAGGTAAGTGGGAAAGTGGAATCGAAATAGAAAACACGAATTTGAATAGTCTGAAGGAGATGCGCACCTTGTAATACGTTCTAGTATTGTCAACTAGAAGTTCTACATCTTCACAAAATTCCTCAAATGTCTGGTATTCCTCAGTCTTGAGTTTTTGCTGAATTCTCGTGAAATCTATGGGAGACTTCACTTGCTTGTAATAATCAGGCTCTGCCCTGAAATTGGTGGTATTAAAGTAGGACAAGCTTTTCTCTTGCAGAAACAGAACAATTTGTACCTGCGAGAAGGAGTTCGGATGAACTTCTCCGCCAGTTGCCTGTTTTCGCTGTCAGTATGCTGTCTGAGCACATTGTAAACCCCTTGAGCTTTACGATTCTAAAAGGAACCAAGTTAGGATGAAACTCAGCGCAAACATTAGATGATAGAGAAATTTTGCCCAGTTTTTTCACAGTCATTCTAGGTTCAAGCCCAGTAACTTGTTACTCATTTCTCGGACATTAGAAAATGTTCGAGAAAAAACTCAGTTGGTAAGGCTAGAGGAGACGTCGAATTCCACTTTTTTGTCACAGAGCTAGCTCGAAGTTTATTGTGTTTAGTTCGTTTGCATAGGTGTAAACCTATGTTAGAAATAATTACAAAAAAAAAACAATTCCAGGACTTTAAGCTGCCAGTCGTTGAATGAATCTGAACTGGGATAAATATTCCAGCACATGAGTAACGCAACGAAAATTAGTAAAAAACTAAAAAGCATATTGGGCAACGAAGACTCAATTCTTCCAGCTTGTCAGTTCAAAGGCAAGAACAAATACCATGGCTGTCGAATTAAACTGCTGGGCTATTACACCGAATTCAAACCGAAAACCACAAAATTATTGTAATGTTGCTTTGTTTGTTGAAAGTCAAATAAAAAGTGTACGGCGGTTTCAAAGTACCGAGAGAGAAGAAAGAGTTGCTGTGCAAAGAATGAGTAAGAAAGCTAGCAAAGCACGTCAGAATTTTGAAAATTCACTTTGATAAAACTCTAGCGAAACGTAATTATTAGTTCATAAGGCATAGAAAAGCAAAGTAATGAAGGCAAATCGGAACGGATTCCTTTTGACAAAACAGTAACTAGTGCAGTACAAATGTTTGGCGCACAAACATAGAATATGAAAATGCAGCAGAAAACAGCAAAACAGCAACAGCAGAACTCACCTCTTCGGAAATTCGCTCTCGTTCTTTTGCAGAGATTCTTCCTTTCCGTCTTTTTGGTGTTGGAGTACCTTCTGGAGGAGAGTTCTCCGCCGTATCTTCTAAGCGCTTTCTTTTCGCGCTCATTTCAGAGAACTACCTTAATACGTAACTCCTGATTCAATAAAGAGAAGAGTGGAAAAAGACATTCATCGCGACCACGCAAATATCAGTCCGCTAATAGTAAATCATTGGGTCATTAGAGACGGGTTTTTTGCACGGCAATGAACGAAAAAAATGAGATCGAGTGCATAGCGATTCGTGGCTACCGTGACAATTGATCGTGTCGAATCAATACAATGAGGAAAAAACACGAATGAACTCTGATCATAGCTGTTCGTTCTGGTTGATTGTGCTTTGGTATCCGTTCCGAGACGTTCCCAGATGGGTGTTTCGAATCCGAACCAGGGAAAACGCCCGACGCCATGCGAGGTAGGTCTGAATAAGCGCTGCACACGAGAGAGTACACGAACCACGGAGGCGCCAGTGCAGAGAACCGAACGCGCGCCAACGTTGACCCAGCCGCCGTAACTAGTCAATAAATCGATTCCCGGCCCGGTTTTCGACCGAACCCGTCAACTTTTTCGATTCTTATCCTCCTCTGAACTATCCACATCGTATCTGCCAATGGCAATCCGTGAATATCTCGAGCAAACCCGATCGCACTTGTGTTGGTGATATTTCGAAATTCCTTAGTTTCTATGCTTATTTCTTGTCGACGGTGATCGTTCTTTTGACAGTTCCTCCCTATTGGGCCCTAAGGGCCTTATTGAAGTGGTGCGAGGTCGTGTCACGCCAATAACACGCTACTGACACCTGCCGAAACTGGTTGGCGCATACCGGGTGTTGACGCTCGTTGCGCGTCCCGTTTGAATGGGCTGGCGGCGTGGGGCTGCACCTGGCGCGACGGCTCTGCAGGACGGCCGAGCAACCGAGGGACGGTTGCGGGGTAATTGTATACCGCTGCATATGGCAGCTGGGCTGACGAGATCGCCATATAACCCAAACATTGCAACGGTCGTGAGTAGGGCATGGTTACCGGGCGGGGTTGAAAAAGTGCAATTATGGCAGCGGTGAGGCACGGGAGATTCGTGGGCTCTTTGTTGACAGCTTCCGGGGAATTCTTGAAAGGGGGGATTTAAGGACCTCCGCGACACGCCACGCACTCTATCTCTTTTAGGAATCGAGACTGCACTTGGCTGGTCCGTGTGGAGGTGTTGAAATGGGGCTCCTTAGGGAATCTCCTAGCTTTTCGATCTATCGAGGAGCGCTCGTACTTCTTGTTGCTGTGTATCGATAATCTTATGATTTTTTTTTGAAAATTTGGGTCTATTTCAGTTACAAGGGGGTCTATTCCAGTTTGGAGGGGGGGACATTATGAGCAGTTTCATCGGAATTTAAACTAGTGTGAACTTGTCAGTGCCAGCTATTTTTACGCATGTGCAAGTGTGACTTCGCCTCAGCCCCATGTCCCCCTCCACTTAGTGCACTGCCCTACACTCCCTCTGGCCTCGGGTTACCTGAGACTTTTCGAAAACGCATCATGGCCCCGGTAACTGAAATACGATCCGAAATTATTAATCCAAAAGTAAGTTTGCGGTCCCTGCCGTAGCACTCTATTTAGGCGAGCAGAGCTCACTTGATTCGTGACGGGTCTGATACCTATTACAGGCCGATGTCAGACTTTGCGAATCGCGCGATTCGCTACTAGCGATTCGCGCGATTCGCTAGCGTCCGCGGTCGCGTTGCGGTACCAGCCAATTGAGTGATTCACTGGCCGCGACGCGACCGCAGACGCTAGCGAATCGCGCGATTCGCAAAGTCTTGACATTGGCTCTCATCTGATCTCTTTACTAGAAACAGGGAGGCTGATCTTTTTCTGCGCACTTACTTCTCGTGTTAGGTGTGAATCACATTATCTGAAAACATATCGATTGTTGTCGTCCTTCATCACGTTAATGGGCTCTCCCAATATTTTTGTAGCGATTATAGAATTGGTCGGCAAAAATAACCATCCGATTCGTCTGCGAACGCTTTGACGCATCCGCCGTTGTGCTTGTCGTCCACTTCATTCGTGTAATAGTTTTTGTTTTTTTCAGTAGTCGAAGAAAACTCTCTCCAACAGGATTAGCTTCTTTAGGTATAGGACACATTGTCTGCCGAATTTCCGATAATAACTGTAGCTCGGCAGTTTTGGAACAAAAACATGCCGTGAAAAATTGTCTCTTCCGACGAGTGTGGCCACCGGCGGCCACACGTCGTCAAAGAGTTATATCCAGCGCCTTCTTTCCAGCTTACCAACGTCTTCAACTAATTAGTCTGGTCAATTTGTTAATCCGGAGATAGCCTGAATTTAGGACCACGGTTTTTGAACAGAACGTTCAATCATCACGTCGGCTGAAGTCACTCAGAAAAATAATTGCCCCTTTATTATGGGTGGAGTTAATTTTCTTACAGGCGGCGTGACGAAAAGGAGAAAGTGAGATAGTCTAAGCAATTCCTTCCAAGCGATCGGCGTGAATTGTGTTTTAAGGCGATTGGGAAGGGTTCAGGGGGTTCTCTGGGGTCGTCGGGATATCTGCTTTGGGAGACTTACTGACACAGGAAGACGCTCGTGCGCGTCAGATTCGCCGCGTGATGGGCTTTGTTAGATTATTTGATATTTTTCTTTTGCTGGTCTTCTTATTGTCTTTGTTTTTTCTTTACGCCACTGATGGCAACCTGTGTTGCGTTTTATCGGATCCAGAACAATAGGCAGCCGGTAGTAGTTGGAGGGGCAATGGCAAACGTACCACGCCTCACGGTCCCGGATGCGAATCCTGAGTACATGCTTTGTCCGGAGCAGCCAACTTGTTTTCAACTCGCCTCCCGGTCGTTAATGGTACCCGACTTGTCGGAAAGGAAAAAAGACTAATCGTACAGCGCGGGCCCCCGCACGCCCATTCGGCGAGTAGGCCCAAATCTCCATTGCAACCGCGTAACTTCGCAACGTAATACGTAGAACTGAAGCAGAAATGCGTGCCGCATCCCGAAAAGGGAATGACTCGAACCGCCGGCAAATCGTTTTCCCCAAATTCTTGAGAGGAGAAAGGTTTGTTCTGAAAAGAAGAGCTCCTGGGGTACAACAACGCAAGGCTTGTAGTCCAATAGCCTGGAGGTTAAATGAGACGTTTCGCTACCAGATTATCGAGAATTGTTCTCCTATAACTTCCGTATTTCTTCTCTATCAGTCACGATTTATGGTGCCTGTGTAGTCATCGATTATATAATCCTAGCTTCGATGGTTCTCTTCTGGGCTCACTATTTAAAGTAGCTAATCTCTGATGGGTTTTGGAATATCTCCTACATCAAAACTGCCATTGATTACATCCTTAAGCTTCACAGCTTTCTGGGCCGGCCTTTGTCTTCGCTTATGCATATCAAGAGAATGCGCTTTCTTACAATCATCTTCGTCAGCGTTCGTTTTTTTGTGGAAGCGTGATTTCCGACAACACCTATTGAAGTTGAATTGAGAAATTCGATATATGTCTTTATAATCGCTGTCGACCGTATCTCCATACGAAGTGTCCCAATCGCCTTATATTAATTACTTAAAGATATGTTCGTAGAGATTGTGTATCTGGAGCGCTCTTTCTCACTTCCTGCACATCGACGTGTGCTGTAGCAACGACGTCGTCCATTAGCACATCTTTGCATCGGAATCGGAAAAATAGCACTCACGACAATGACGCGCCGAAGTCGATGGTCGCCCATTTCCTGCGACCATAGCTAGCAATCGTGCGTAGAAAATGGGTGGTGCTGCTACGCACACCATTCGGGATCTAACTCCGGACCGAATTCCTCTATGGACTGCCATTCTTTACCAAATCGGTTTTATCGGAGAGCAGAAAACATCGCCATTACAGCGCTGCCTGAAGTCTTGTGTGTAGGTCAAGTTCACACTCAGATGACCTACAACGACTCCGCCAAGGACGTCAGAAATGCAATGCGCTACCCCAGATAACTCTAGATCTCCAGATTTTTCCGTCTTTATGATACTATGATCTCTCTAACTCCACCAAAAGTCCAGGAAGGTGAAACTCCAGTTCGGGGCCACTCCATTGCTATCTTATCCGTAGTACTAGAGAGCAGTTCTTTGGGCTATCGAACACTACGGATAAGATATAAGTGAACGACTCATTTCGAGCGTACTTTTGATAAGGACCGGTGGATGTCCTACATTCCACACTACCTGCCCACATCCCATCCACTTTTCTGCACAGGTGATCCACCCTGGAGCTCCTGCACCCTTAGCCCTTTGCGGGTGTAATTTCTCCTGGTTCTAAAACTCGGAACTCGAACATTCCACGTCGAAAACTGTTCCAATCCTTGATCCGAATACGGTTTGTCGGGAGAGCAAAAACATGCACGTACATCGGCTGGCCTTGCAAGTATTGTGTAGGTCATGTCGCACTAAAAATGGCCTAAACGATTCCGAATGGACGTAGAAATGCATGGCGCACCCCATATAACTCTAAAAATTGCTCCAAGATTTTAGTCTTTTATGATACGTAGGATTCGCTTAAACTCACCAAAAAAAGTGTAAGGAAACTGGTGAACCTCCAGTTCGGGGGGCCACTCTATCGCTATCTATAAGCGATAACTAGAGAGCTTGTTCTCTTTGGCTCAAGAAACACCGTAACGGATAAGATAATAAGTGAACGACTCATTTCGAGCGTACTTTTGATAAGGACCGGTGGATGTCCTACATTCCACACTACCTGCCCACATCCCATCCACTTTTCTGCACAGGTGATCCACCCTGGAGCTCCTGCACCCTTAGCCCTTTGCGGAGGTGTCCTTTCTCCTGGTCCAGGACCGTTCCCTTGGGTCATGGCAGGCGGAAATGTGAAAACGTTTCAGGGTTTCTCACCCATTACACCAATATTTATCAGAAGTCTACTTTAAATGAGTCGATTACGTGTCGTGAGCCCTCTAATCCTTATCTTGAGTATTGGAGAAAAAATGGAGTGGCCCCCCCGAACTGGAGTTTCACCGTGCAGGACGTTACGTCACAACTTCACAATTGGAATTAGGCCAACGAGGAAGGTCTTTCAGGAAATGCCAGCTTTCTCGAAACGGTTTTTTGCATGATATAGGGGTACGTGCATGGAACACAGAACTGTAGTTCATTTTTCCTGAGCGGCCTTCTGAATACCAAAAAAGGGGTGATGAAGTGGTCCGTGGTTCGAATCCTCGCAGTGACAATTTTTTGCATTTTGTGTTGGCGTTTCAAAATTCGCGAAAAATAGCGTCAGCGGAAACTTATGTCATATCTATAATTAGGACCATCAGCAACCTTTATACGTAGACTTTGGCTAAAAACTGGTGAAGAAAGTTAAGAACGGCAGTTCCTTAAGAAATTTTTCTTCGCTCCTTTTTTGGTATTCAGAGGGTCGCTCAGGAAAAATGAACCACAGTTCTGTGTTCCATGCACGTACCTCTATATCATGCAAAAAACGTTCGAAAAAGCTGGGCATTCCTTGGAAGACCTCCCTGATAAGGGTTTATCCCGAAAATTAATATTCATGCACTAATTAGCATTACCACAGCAACTAGAAAAATTAATCAACCTGTTGTGAGACTTACAGCGCGCCTTTCCACAGGAATCGCTTATTTTCGATTCCCGTATGATAGTTCTAATAAGAAGGCGGAGACCCACTTTGTCATAGTTGCTTTGAAATTGAAACTGCTTACATACACGGGCGTTATCGCAAGATGCGGGGCATTGTGGTGGCAATCGCTCAAAACCACATAAAATATCCTGTTTTTGTTAAAAACGGGACTAACATAAGCTTCAGGCGGGAGGGAGAGAGACTTCAGGGTGCGTGAGCAATTCTCATTTCCCCACGGAGTTCTTGCCTCATCCTAGGCCTGGTTCTAGGGGATGGCCCCGTATCTTGCGATTGCGCCCGCATGCGATGTTTTTCAAAAATAAAAGGCACATTCCACGATAGCTGTGGTGTTGGTTATCGCGCTTAAGAATGAGAGCAATGCGCCAATGAGCCCTGTTGTTTTCAGGAAAGCGAAAGGATAAAAATAAAGATGAAGCATTTGCCGTTGATCAATCCCTTTCTGAGATGCGGCACGCATTCTACTTCCATTTAAAAAAAAACAAAAAAAATTCTAAACCTAAGTCTGTTTTGCGGCGCAGCTTTTTCACTTTCAGGGCTGGTTTTGAATACACAAGATTGAGTAAAAAGATGCAGGTTCCATGTTGTTTTTCAGGCTTCAAAAAGGTTGTTTATCGTTATCTTAGCCGAGACAATTCTTGCTAGTGATTTATTGTGTTTTATTTGTTCAGAAACCACTCTCACTCTCTGTTTTTTTTTCTGTTTGTTTCATTGGTTTTACTGTCATTTTTTTTATCTTTAAATTTCTTTAATCTTTAACCCATCGAACAATCGTGCTTAGCGCTGTAATAAATGTAAATTTGTACACATTCGTAGTGGCATTTGAATGCGATGTGGCCTATACAATGACTTGCGGGGGCCAGCCGATGTACAAGTCAGTGTTTTTATCCTCCCAGACAAGTCTGGTACCAATTAACCGACCCCGGAGGGATGGAAGGCTTGGTTGGCCCGGGCGACTCACGACCCAGACGAATTCGATCCTCCGGAACCGCGCGCCCGGTGGTAAGCCGTGCCACCTTCCCCACCTATTGCCCCCCCCGCCCTCCCAAGCGAAAAAAGATTTGATAAATTTTGTAAGCCAAGGATGCAGAAAGTTTTTAACGGGTTGCAGAGCAGAAATTTGTTGAACTATGTTCGCTACGGATGAAAGTGACACCCGGATAAATCAGTGCATGGGTGCGCGAGCCCCCGAATTTCAAACTAAAAGTATTCTACATTCAAACTGAAATCCAGAAAATTTTCAGGAATTATTATACCAGCTGAAATATCAATATTCGTTGTGGTTTTCAAATTTTCAAAAACTTCAAAAAGCAACTTTCCATCGCTTGCTTTCCTGTTTTTGCACCGTTTGAGAGTTCTAATTTTCGAAATTCCAACCAGGGCCAACCGTCTGTTCGCAGTATTCGGACGGGAGGGTCGAATTTGCCATTTCGGGAAGGGGGTCGCATTTGGGGTTGGGAAAGGTGAATTTACCTAGGAAACTGTTGACAGGGGTTGTAAAAAGGGGTTGCATTTTTTTGACGGCGTTTCTAACAAGTTCGGCGAAGTTTCATTTTAGTTTTCTCACAAGGATAGGCGTAAAGCAGAACAAAATTAGTGATTTGCCCCTTCATGATACGCTCATACATCCCCGCCTCTGACTGCCTTTTTTGAGCAAAAGGACGGATCCGCAGAAGCAGTCATGATGCGTGGGCCGGTGCTAACCCTGCGGTATTGGTAAGCGGAGGAGGGTTCATATTGGGGCGGGGGGTTCCTAAGGCTGAGGTGGGAGCCGCGAGACCCCACCTTCAGCCTTAGCGGAAGGGTCGTAACATTTTTTGGAACAAAGTGTGAAACTGTGACGGTTGACCCCAATTGAAACGCTTGTATTCAGTGCTCTCCCCTGTTATTCTTCTATCTATATAACCTCTGTTTTAATGTATCCCTCATTACCGACCAGCTCTATTTCCCCTCCCCCGGCATCATAATTTTCTCAGTAATGGCTTCCAGATGGATGCGAAACGGATAAAACTCGACGGGGATGACGAGGACTCACGGGATTCGAGTTCGCGTAGCTCATGTGGTGGGAGCGAGGCTACTTCAAGCCCGTCAACATCGACTAGGGTGACTGTCGACGACCTGAAGTCTGCGGATCCGTTGGTGATCGAAAAGGCTTTGAAGAAGCTAAAAGGAACACTCAGAAATAAGGCAGCTATTGTGAAATTCATGACTGTCAGATCATCTGAAGTATTTCCAATGCTCATCGCTCTACTCAACAAAGCTGCCACGGACATACCAAATAAACCGTCAGTAACACTTCTTACAGTTTTGAAGAGATTTATTTTGAAATTTCTTATATTTTTGTTCATTTAAGACCGCCTTGGAATTCTATACTGAAAGAAACGATCAGCGTAATTGCAAATTGTTGTAATTATTCCGTGGCTGCATGTTTGAAGATGACTGCACCGAAGATTACTCACATTGCGGGTTCGTTTTTTTTAGTTCGTATGCTGTAAAACGTTTTAGGCGCTATCGTAATATACGGGGGCATCCTCTGGGTCTAAGCCTAGGAGAGTGCAGGAAGTACCGGGAAAATGAAAATGGCTCACGCACCTGGAGTTTCTTCCTCCTCCGCCTAGGCTTAGTCCAATTTCAACAAAAGAACATGTTTCACGCGATTTTGAAAGCATTGCCACCACAATGCCCCTTATCTTGCGATAGCACCCATTTTTATAAATGTCACTGAATTTTTCGAACGGTTTTATGTTCGGTCTTCTAGCTCTTTGGAAAAAGCTCCAAGATGCGAGCAGTCCAGTTGTACGCGTGTTACGCAGCTCACAGGTGCCACAGAGTATAAACCCTCTGTTTCCGAAAACCAGAACGCGTCGAGTGCAGACCACACACCACAAGTGACGACGGCCTCCACAAAATGTAAATGTTTTCTGCCAATGAAATGATTAGCCTGTTGCAGTTGTATTCTATCAGTTGTCACTAATTACAACTATTTACCAAAATTTACTTAGGCGTTAGTCACCTGTGGTGTCTGTGGTCCGCACTCGACGCGCATCTGGTTTTCGAAAGCAGGATTATTTGCCACTGATAAATGAACCAATGACATAGTTGATCATTTATTATTATAACTATTAATAGCGAGGTGGTGGAACAGCATATCACACCCGTGATTTTGGCGATCACGGATCAAACCTCACTTAGGTCAGCTGAGCCTTCCATCATTCCAACTCCACCCAAGTTAGGTGAGTAAGTTAAGGTGGCTCAGCCGTTGTTGGTGGAGTTGTTAGTTGGTTCCAGCGTTGTGGTAGAGGATCAAAGCTGAAGAATCATACTTAGTCTCCGCGTAGTCACTGCTTAGACGAGTGGCAATTCCAATGCCATTATGGTTTCGAATGGAAGTGAATTGCATGGCGTATACTAGAATGGGGAATATCATTGCCGAAGTCCCTATTCGTGAGCCTTTTAAATGACATGCAGTTCAAATAGCAATTAAAAAATTTTCTGGGATGCGCCACGCATTCGAATTCCATTCACTATTATATCTGGGCTATACAGTAACCTGTAGGGGGAGGGAACTAGCCGATGGACATGCTACTGTTTTATCTCCATTCAAGTCTGGCTTCAATACCAGGCTTGGAGGCTTGGCTTAGGCTATTTGGCTCAGAATTGAACTCATGGACCGTGCCTGTGGTGTGCGGCGCCACTTGCTGCTTCACGTCTCCGCCTGCAATGCTTAAGATCCACTCAGTTTCTGAAGCGCGCGAGAAGTATATACCTATATAGGTGTCTGTTTTCGATAACTGCACTACTTTTTAAAAGCTGGGGATACGGCTGGCCAGGAACCGGGCCGAAACAAATCCGTTAATTAAGAAAAGGTGTAGGGGAGGTGTTCCGATCGCAGCCCTCAGCGCGGTGCTGTTCCTAAGCAGGGCGAAAATCGGTTGAGGATTTGTCGACGACTCGTCGAGGACCTGATTTTCGCCTGTTCAGTCACGCTCTCCTGCGTAGACATTCACTTCGCCACCATTCTCACACGGTACAGAGCCATGGTTGAGGATTGCCTCGATCGTTCTTCACCCTGCCTCCAAGGTCCTTTACTTTTATGTAATAGGCATTCTCCGGCTAATAGGGCTTCAGGAAGAATTCAAAAGATATATGAGATGTAAGGGCGTGGTTCTCAAGCAAAAATGATTTCTGAGTCAGTTGTATTAAGGCTGATAACAAAATTGGAAGCATCACAAGTACTCGCGGAAAAGGAAAGCTTGCGAGCAAAGACTAGAATCATCCAGCCCTTAGCAGAAGGGTGAAACTTCCACGGGGGGGCCACTCCATTTTTCTCCAATACTCAAGATAAGGATTAGAGGGCTCACGACACGTAATCGACTCATTTAAAGTAGACTTCTGATAAATATTGGTGTAATGGGTGAGAAACCCTGAAACGTTTTCACATTTCCGCCTGCCATGACCCAAGGGAACGGTCCTGGACCAGGAGAAAGGACACCTCCGCAAAGGGCTAAGGGTGCAGGAGCTCCAGGGTGGATCACCTGTGCAGAAAAGTGGATGGGATGTGGGCAGGTAGTGTGGAATGTAGGACATCCACCGGTCCTTATCAAAAGTACGCTCGAAATGAGTCGTTCACTTATTATCTTATCCGTAGTGTTCGATAGCTTAAAAAACTGCTCTCTAGTACTACGGAAACGGTAGCAATGGCCCCCG